TCTTCTTCTCAATTACTTCCTGGGACACGGATGTTCGCTTGTATTGGCAATTAATCAGGTTCATGAAAAACTTTCTCCGCAGTACTCATAGAGTTGATTTTAAACCATCCTGAAGTGCACCACGACTGCAACTGTCCTCAGCAGATCAAATTGTTACGGACGAATCCCGGTCATCAGTAACTCGACATCTACTTCACCTCATCGGATGTGGAGTTGTGTTTTAGTTTCTAGCCGAAGGCCGCTCGCAACGTAACAAAAAACACCAAGCCCACCATTAAGAAGACATTGTTTGCATTTACCTCTTAGACTCATCAAGGCAAAGGCTGCCAAATAGACGTTAGAATAAGCTGCGGCGCCTAGGGAACAAGAATATACCAAAGAACTACCAAAGACCCATAAGGATGGCCTGCCAGTTCGTCCGATTTTGGACATGCGCAATTCACCGTATCATGGGAAAGCGAAATGGTTGGCGGCGAAGCTCAAGCCTTTGCAGCATCAGCTGGCACCACGGATTTGAATTCACGTTTGAATTCATCGACGACGTCAGAGATGTGAACTTAAACGGCATGAGGATGCTCTCCCTAGACCTCTCCTCACCGTTTAAAAACGTCCCAGTTACCGAGACAATGGAGTACATCTACGAATTCCTATTGAGAAATCAACTAGAAATAGGAATACCGACGAATACACTGAAGGAACTACTACTGAAGTGCACACTAAATGTGCAGTTCCTTTTCGACAGCCAAATATACAGAAAAATAGATGGCGTTGCCATGGGCTCGCCTCTGGGACCTCTCCCAGCTGATATATTCATGGGCAAGCTGGAGGAATTTCAACTAAGCGATCATATCCACAAGCTAAAACACTACGGTCGCTACGTTGACTATATCTTCGTGATCGTCACAACCGAAACCGATAGAGACGCACTCTTAAACGCGGTCAATCAAGCACATCCATCTATAAAGTTCACGTTGGAGATGGGCAAGCTGGAGAAATTTCAACTAAGCGATCAGATCAATAAGTTAAAACACTACGCTCGCTATGTCGAGGACATAGTTTGCATCGCCCCAACAGAAACCTATATATATTCGCTCCTAAATACTGTCCATCATGCGCACCCTTCCAGTAATTTCACGTTGGAGATGGGAGCGACAGATTCGCTTTTTTTTCTTGGACATCCTCCCAAGTCGAAGAGCTGACGGTAGCGTCCGAAGGAACGTTTATCGAAAGAAAACCTGGTCCGGACAATATACGAACTTTGACAGTTTCGTTCCCCTCAAACAGAAGCGAAATCTTGTTCGCTGCTTAGCGCG